GTTTTTATAAAGACATACAACAACAACAAAATTTTGTAAAAATACCATTTTACTATTGAACAATTTAAAGATTCGAATCACTCAATAACTGAAAATTATTAAAAGAAGAAATATTACATAATCAGCTATTATAAAAAAAGAAAATAGAAGACATTTTTCTATCTTGACTAAAGGTCTTAACTTTCAACGAAAATTATTTTCAAGTTTGTCTTTAAAAGTAAAAATTCTCTATATTTATCTATTATCCAAAACAAAAACAAAAAAATCATTAGTCAATAAAGTCAAGTTAATAGTGAAATTTAATTTAAAAACAAAAATAATAGAAAGAGACTTTTAAGACACACTCTACTTATATAATTAGATGAATATTTTAAAGAGATCATCATTGAGATGTTCGACATGTTACTCGTTGATTTTTTCTTAGATAAAAAGTAAGAGTTGAAGAAAAAAAGCTAGTTGATGGTAAATGACAGAGTGATAAAGGTGGATATGACGGATTGAATGTTTCGATAACACTAAAATGTTTTAAATTTTTAAAGAACTTCAATATACGTCCATATACATTTCTGTTATAGTTTTCTGGTGATTGTATCATATTGTCTTTGTCATTATTTGCAAGAACAAGATGTGTAATTTGTTGTTGAGAGATATATCGAAGAGATGATTCATCTAAATAAGAAATTATGAAACATTATTATGTTCTATTTAACATTATTGGCTCTGTTATTTTTCTTACTTGTAAAATAATTTAACGCAATTTCTTGATTGAAATTAAAAAGTTTAAGTTCACCTAAATTTGGATATTGAACAGCAAGAAGAATACGTTCCATTGAAACTGGTTCAAGAATAAAACATTTCACATTGTGCTGAACTCTTGGCAATATGTCGATGCAAAATCGATCAAGTTTGCATCGATCAATTGAAGAAACATTATCAATTGATACAAAATTGAGAGTGTCACTGAAGATTTTCTCTTGTGCTAGACTATTTAGACGTTGGTTATTTATGTTTAATAATGAGTAAAGAACATCTATATTGTTCAGTTTTTTCAAAATGATAAGTAATATCTCATCAGGGAGATCTAAAAGATAAACACAAGACCGAGTCATACTTTATTCTGACAACGACACTTTTTTCAAACATAAACATATATATATGTCCTAAGTACACGATTCTAGATGTTAATATATGGGGTTCATGTTAAAACAAATCAGCGACAGGGATGAAAACTAGACGACTTACATAGATGTGGATATCGGTGTGCTTGAAGAGAGCAACTCCCTCGTCACATAAACTTGAAATGATTTTTTCCAGGCTCTGAATTTGACAATCTGAACTCATCATTATGAACCTGCATGGGCCGACGCACGTAATATAGATTATCATTGTCTTCACATAAGCCTACTCTGAAAGAAAAAAAGGAGTACTGCAGAACCTTTTTATGGTTCTGTAGCTCATGCAGAACCTTTTCAAGTTCTGTATGAAAGTACAGAACTATCAATAGTTCTGTCCAACAGTACTGA